AACTCTGAGGTACGTACACCTGGCTCTGTGTGTATACACCGGATATTTCCTCAAAAGAGCTTCCCCAGAATGGCTCTTCAAAGGGGTCTGTGATTCCAAATAGTTTAATTACCCATTCCTGTAATTTAATTACCCTCCCTTACCCTGTGTAAGGGAAAATTAAAGTCCCTGAGAGGTTGATTTGTATGAGAACACATGAATGATGGGAGACAGTGTTTTCCTAACCCCTGTTTTGACCCTTCATAACTATGGTCTACTGAAAATAAATTGACAGATTATTATGGTGTCCTGCCCAAGCTCTGCATAAGAAAGAGAACACTTGAGACTCTAGAGCAGGCTTGCAATTAGTCTATGGATAATAAAATCAGTGCCACTGGCTGTTGGGGTGATCAGGTCCAAAGTTAGACCCCGGTGAGAGTGGACAAGTCAGTGCTAAGAAGCACAGTACCGTGAAAGTGAGCTCTGATGTATGCAGGTCCAATTCTGGTAGAAAGAGAAGGACTCATGTAATATGGCACCCGATTGTTGGAATTCAGGGTGTATCAGTTATTCATACACTGGAGTAAGCCCTGAAAAGTTGATAATCTCCCTCATTGCTGTATTCTAGTTCAGTGCTGTGGAGTGCAGAGTCAGAAGTTCGACTGCCAGGGCTGGATTCTGGCTTCATCACGTGTAGGTATGGGACCTTTGGCACATTGCTTGATTTCTCTGTATCTCAATCATCTCGTTAATAAAACGGGGGAACTTATTACTTTATTAGGGTCAAGTCAGCCTGGATTCCAATTATGACCCAGGATCTACTAGTTATCTAATAAAATAATTATGTAAATAGAAATGCATTTCGTTTGTATAGGACTTTACAAAATTCTTTCACATTTAATATGGAAGAATTAGTGTTATTAATGAATTGAAAAAGAATTAATGTTTTCCAATGTCATTTCAGCAAGTTGTTTTCTAATGTGTGACTCTATTTGCTACTTTGCTGTAAGGGTTAAATAGGATAATTTAAAGTAGCTGGCATATAGTGAGGACTACACATTATTTTTACTGCTACTGCTATCACCATCGCTATAGATAGGTGCAGATACCTGTTGGGCCCACTAGGTGGAAGCAGAGGAAACCATACTTGAAATTCATTTTTTTCATGAAGTTCAGTGTACTGAGATCAAAGAAACTTAATCGCAGTTGGTGGTTAGTACAGAAAAACATTCAGGTCAGGAATAACGTAGTTTGCCTCTCTGGAAATACAGTTTGTTGCTCTTCCACCCGGGGGTCGCATTTATGGATTTGCATCTCCCAGCTTAAGGAGCCAGTTGTGTAGCTGTCATTCTCTCCTCAGTCTGCCAGTATCTGTTCTGTATTGACCAGTGCTAAATTTCAGTAGACTCTATTCAGAAATTAAAGTTGTATCTCTACACCTTATATTTTTGAGACAGTAAATAGCTACCTAGTCTTGCATTCAGAAGGCCTTCAGTTGGCCATGATACTTCAAAATTTTATGGTCTGTGTGATTTCCCTTTGTGCCACAGACCAAATGCAAGAAAACACTTAGAAAATCACATTGTTATTTCTTATTTCAATCATGCGTTGGAATTTTTTTTTTTTACAAAAATGGAATTAAACACTAAGAACAGAAAAAAGAGACAAAGAGAATGACAGAGTATAAGTGTAGTTCTACAACTCAGCTTTGGAAAACATAAAGAAAGCTAAGTAAAATGTATCTAGACATTTGGTTTGTGTTTGTCTCCTGGGAAGATTGTGGTGGGGGAGCGAAGGAGCTGACAAAGTTGAATTTAAGAAAGGAGCAAATTTATAATATATTAAATATATGCCAAGCCTCAGAATTTGATGTGGTAGCCAAAAGCATTTGGTAGCAAAATATGAGATAGTATTAGCACATAATTGATTCTAATTATATGCTTTATAACTACATAGATCCATTAAGCATAAAGGGAAGGAAGTACCATGTTCTTAATGGAAAAGTTTTGTCGTCTGGCTGTGGAACAAAAGAATACTCTAGACCAAAAAAAAAAAAGGCTGGAAATTCAATTTATTTGATTTGAAATAGATAATATAGTGTACACTGAAATCCCAACGATGTGTGCTACCCTTTATATATTCACATAGACACTATAAAACACTTTAAAGCCATGTGGAAGAGCCAAAGAATACTTACAATCCTTTGCCAGAAAGCTATAGTGGAAGATCATGATTAACTGGCTCAAAATACAAAATTTATATGTCATATTCTGAAAGAGTTTGATGTAGAAAGGGCTTCCAAAGCTAGTGGAAACAAAGTTTCCTGGTGTTAGGGTATAAAGAACTATTAATCTTCTTTCTGATGATGTAATGCTATAACTTCAAACATTCTTTTATTTTGCTATTAACTGAAAATCTTATTGAAGACTCTTTACTGTGGTATAGTTCCAGAAAACTAATAAATGAATTCTGAGCATAATGTAAAGTGTTCATTTAACTAATGTGTCCCAATACAGAGGAATTTCAAAAATTCTCAGATAAATAGAGCCATGGAATTTTAAAGCTACAGGAGACCTTAGGGAACAAAATGGATGTGACTTTCCATATTTACAAAGCTCATGTATATGGGAGTGAAACTAGAGCCCTGCTTGTCTTCCACAACATGTTTCTATTTTTGTTCTTAACTTCCTTCTTATAATGTCATATCAGTACTGAGTATAGAGTCAGTTGACAAACTAACTTTCCTTGGCCACTTGAATAAAGTCAGTACATTAACATTCTTTTAAAAGTAGAATGCCAGTAAAATCTTTAGAGAAAGCTCAGATTCAAACTCAGTGATATTTTCCTTCCAAGAGAAGCAACTCGAGTCTACTACCATTTCAGAAGATTGTATACATAGTGACCTGTGTACATAGAAACATAAACACAAAAATCTTCCTAGATATACAAGACACTTCAAGAATTCATTTAGTTCAGTTCTTTGCCTTCCAGCAGGTAAGGTATCATTATTCTGATTTTATAGATGAAACAATCAGTGCCCAGAGAGAAGAACCGGCTTATCTAAGGATAAATTACAAAAAGTAATGTTGAGGGCAGGACAGGTTTCCTGTCCCAGTAAAGTACTACACTGTGCAGTCTCTTGTTGAAAAACAAAACAAGCCAAAACAAAATCTGAAAATGTTTTGTTTCCTTAAAAATTCATTTTCTGCTGATTTCTATTAAATTGTTGCTTCCGGCTTTATCTTGCTCACAAAATATAAACTTTTCTCATAGGATTTATTAAATCATCATTGGACTAAAGATGTTTATTTTGTAGGCAACTTTCTCAAATTCAAGTTATCTCAACTTGAAAGAATCGTGGCAGGCATAAGTTTATCTTCCATAATTGTGTAAAAGAATCTTACACAAAATAGGCTGGGCACAGCAGCTTACACCTGTAATCCCAGCATTTTGGGAGGCTGAGGTGGAAGGATCACTTGAGGCCAGAAGTTTGAGACCAACCTGGGCAACACTGCAAGACCTCATCTCTAAAAATAACATTTTAAAAAAATTAACCAGGCATGATGGCCCACGCCTGTAGTCCAAGGTACTCAGGAGGCTGAGGCAAGAGGATCACTTGAGCCCAGGAGTTCAAGATTACAGTGAGCTGTGATTACACCACTGCACTCTAGCCTGGGCAACAGAGTGAGACGTAGACTATAAAAATATAAATAAATAAATAAGACTCTTACACAAAATAGAATATTCCATAATTGTGTAAAAGTAGATTACCAAGTATTTGATGGCATTTTTAGATAGTCAAGTTCCTTGGTCTCCGTAAAAGTGAATCTTGAGAGTCAAGTTGACCATTGGCAGTTGCACCATTGTCCAGTAAGCATTTATTATTTTGGCTAAAGAAATAAATAAAAGCCCTCAGATTGTTTATTTTGGCCAAAAAGCCAGTTGCTTAAGGGAACATGGCAAAAATCAGCCATGAGACATTACATATCAGAAGTAATTAAGATAAATTAGAAAACTGTCAATTGTTAGATGTTGCATTTAGCAAAGTTAAACAGAGAAAAGTCAGACAGATATTATCCCCTTTCAGAGTTATAGATCATGGATATACAAGTATAGGCTGCAGTCTTGGTTCCCCAAATAGATTTTGAGTGCAAAGGTGCAATTTGATAATGAAAAGGTACAGATGGTAGCTCTCTAGTGGAGCATGAAAGGGAAGCCTTCCAGAATAAACTTTATATGTAATGGCTATAAAAATGTTCTAAGTATGGAGGTGCTACAAACAACATTTATGATTTCAGTGATAACACAATATTGCATCATCTTCCACCAGTTATAGAAGGATGACTCGAGCCTTTCCTGCATGACCTCCCTCACATGTTACCAGTTCAGAAAGGGCTTTTTGCCCTGCTTCCCAAAGGGTCAGATATTTAGATTTGAAGAGAGAGGAGGAGGCTGTGAAAAATTCCTGGATATTATATAAAGGTAGAAACAGAGAAGACCAGAAATTAGAGGGAAAGAAAATAGTGATGGAAGACATGGAATGCAAAGAGAAAGGGAGAAACTGACATTAACATTTATTTTATGAAAGGCAGGGTGCTGAGCACTTTGATTACATTATCACATTTAATCCTCACAACAGTTCTATGAGATAACCACCATGTACAGATGACAAAATGGCAGTCAGAAATATTAACTTTGACAAAATGGCAGTCAGAAATATTAACTTTAACATAGCTATTAAGTAATAGAACTAAGATGCAAATTTTGATATGCCTTCAAATTCCATGTTGTTTTTAATTAGACCAGTATGATACTATCGGCATTACCAGACCATCAATGAAATTTCGAAAAGAGAGATAGGCACAATTATCAGATAACTTGATTTTGGAAATAACATTTTAGTTGGACTTATGTAAACAAATATCGGAAGAGAAAGAAAAAGATGAAAGCTTACGTTGAACTCCATGATCATAAAAACCAAGTATCTTGTCAAGCAACCTGAATTGTGGAAGGTGCTACAATTAAGGTTTTAATTCAATACCTCTTGACTTGTCCTCCTCATTATCCTCATCCACCCTGTCTCCAAGGAAGCTATAGTGACCTTGCAAGTAATCACCCATGCATAGAAGACTGGGTGCTGAAATCTCTCTCCAGTCCTGACACGAAGGAATACGGATATGTTTGACATCTTTACTCCCGGGAATGAAGCCAAATAGTTTCTTTATGCGCTGCATGATGAGGAGCCGGGAGTGCTGCTCTGCTGCTTCTTCAAAGAGCTGTCTCTCATTCTGAAGGTGGTTGTTCCAGTAGTAATCCTGCAGAGAGGTGAGGGGAGAGCAGCATCTCGCCAAACAGTAGGAGACTAGGATAGCTATGGTTGCCAAGGTGATCAAAATCCAGCCCAGCATCTTCAAGTCATTATTTAAAAAAAAAAAAAAAGAAAGTATTAATACATCAAATATTTAAGAAAGTCATGGGAAAAGGGATTCCTATAAAACTCAGAAGTAAAATGTGGGTAAGAAATTTGCTTTTCCGGTCTTTAATATATTAACAAGGTATTGATCATTTGATGTGGAAATTGATCTGATGGAGGGAATAGGCCCAGCCATTTCAACTTGGTTTTCAGGCTACAAAGAAATTTGACCAGTTAACTTGGAATGGATTAAAAGTACTGTCCTTGAAGTGACAGGCGCTATAACCCACCAATTAATCTTACATAAGATACACAGCTTTCTTTGCTTGTAGCTCAACCTTACTTCTCAACCATCGGGTACAGGCCCATCCATTGTTTGGATGCTTAAGAAATATTTGATAATGATAGGGATGAAAATGATGGTATGATACATAACAATAGTGGGCTCCTAAGGTGTCTTCAATGATGTGCCAACACATGTTCATTGATATTTTTTCCTGAGTTGCTTTTTCCTCTTATCTTTTGCAGCCAAAGAAGAAAGTCAATGAGCGAACTCATGTCTCTAAATGTATTATTGATAGTATAATCACTGTGCCTATAGTACCTGATTGTTTTTCTTTTCATTTCCCTTGTTCTCAAATAGTCATTTGCTGACCGGTTTTATTATGTGCCTTTAAAACATACCTTGAAAGAAGAATAAACTAGTTTTTATTTGAGATTATTTAGTCTCAGCTTTTAAACACTGACATATATGGCTGTTTTCTAATTTAGAATCCTTTTTCTTCTTTTTATTATTCTTTGTTCAATATTTCACAGTTATCATGTAAAGTGAGAGAGACAAGTTCCACACATTTAGGGAAGCCCACAGTATGCAGCCACAGTTTGGGCAGTGAAGCCTCTTCTGCATCTCGTGGGAATTACCAGTGTGTGCACAGTGGGGCAGTTGCACTCTGTGAAGGCTAAAACCCACAAAGTGATATTCATCACAATTTAACTTAACAGATGTCAGCATGGTAGAGGAAAGGCCATCCCAGATGCTCATTAATTTATCAACTATCATTGACTGAGATCCAGGTTGACCTCTCACCCTGGGCAGTACATGGTGCTTGGTTAAGGGAACTCAGATGTGAATAATTTGAGATACATTCATTCTCTCTATGGTTTTTAAGCCTAAAGAAGGAGACAAATGAACAAGCCGAGAAATATGATACAATTTGATAGTTTTTGATATGAGTAAAGAGAACACCTGAGGTAGCACAATGGAAGAGAAATGAACTTATTTAAGGGAGAGGAGAATACTGCTCTTCTAATAAGGGAAGAAAACAGAAAAATAAGAGCATGAAGAGTTGGGGGAACCTTAAGAAATTTGGATTCACATGGTCATAGAAGTTATGTGGAAAAGTGATCAAGAGCTAGATACCAAATGACTTTGTATATCATGCCAAGGAATTTGGAATTGTTCTCAGGCTAGTATTAATAGAAGAATATTGAAGGACTTTATATTGGGGGTAGGGTAATCTCATCATGCAATTTGAATTTATCAATAGAAAGATATTTTTGACATATGTGTAGAAGGTAGATTGAAATAGGGTGAAACTATTTTAGAATGGGGCGTGGACAAAGAAAGGATCTGAACTCAATGTGATCTTGTGGTCAACTCAGAAAAATCCAATTGAAAGGCCGTGTGTACTCCTCAAACATAATTGCAGTTTGAGATAGTTGCAGAAGGTGGCCTGGTGAAATGGAAACAGCATGATCTTGGGACATCTTGATCAGCTGTTGATTGGTTCTATGAATTATGTGAGTTACATAAACTTTTTAACCTTTGATTTATTCATCTGTAAAATAAGGTTCATAATATCTGTCTCTCAATATCATGAGAATTAGAGTTAAGCTGTGAAATGTTTACACAGCATACAATAAGCATCTCAATACAAGTTTTGTTGTCACAAAACCAAAAAATCTGCTGGTGATGGTACTCAGAACTGTAAAACGGTCTTTTCACAGAAGTCTGAATTTAATAAGACATTTTATTTTAACTTTAAGAAAATCTGGCTATTGTATATTACATTTTAGTTTTTCATAGGCAAGAACATTTTTTAAAGTTATAATTGTCCCATTGATTTTTTGCATTTTTGCTTATCTTCATGTAGCTCTTCTGCCTGAGTTTAGGGCTAATATAAAAAAATTGAGACAAAGCGTGTACTAATGGGATTTCTAACTTTTCTTAAATTGGGTCATATTGCAACTCTTTGGTATTCTGTGTCTTGATAGTAGGGTTCCCCCCACCAACTAAATATCATTATCTTTTCTAAATTTTAATTACTGAAAGGTTGCAGGTCAAAACACATGTATGCCTTTACAGTAAGTAGTTTTAAAAAATAACATTTTTTTACTGTATTACAGTGGTTTGAAAATATATTTTTTCCTCAAATCCCTTGGAGGAACTGATGAAAGCTAATGGCTCTCATTGATGAAAACTAATATAACCGATGGCTCTTTCTCTACTGATGAAGTACACAATTGCACTTTTAAAATTTAACCTATAAATGTAGTAGATTCCCTCTCACCCCACCGTACCCTCAGACACAAACCTATCCATAGATACTAAGTTTAGAATCATAATTGGAGTTTTTAATCATAATTAAGCTTCCTGTAATTCTAGATGAGATTTTAATATATAAAAATATATATTTAAGAGTTTATATATGCAGGAAGATGGGATTTAGTAATACAATAATAATATTCATAACAATATCTAAGATTCATTGTTCTTAATATGGATACTAGGTACCTTATTGAACACTTTAGTTGTATTAGCTCATTTATTTCTCACAATAACCCCATGCAGTAGGTACTATTAATATCTCCATATTACTCAAGGTCTTGCAGGTTAATAAGTGGCAAAACAAGACTCAAACCTAAGTCTACTAACTTCAAAGCCAACATCCTAACTATATATAGCTGCTCAGAACTCACTTTGATGAACGACATCTAGTTTGTGTTCCACAATCAGACAATATGAGAAGCCGTATGAATGCAAAACGTTTCCAGTGACTATAGTTACTATGGGATAGCATAGCAGAGGAAAAAAAAATCAAAAACTTACTTGTGACTGGTATCTGTGCAGAAGAACTATTTCATCTCTCACTGGGATTAGGTCCGAAGGAGCTGATCCAAAGCATGGAAATTCAGCCAGAATCTCTTCTCGTTTGCTGGCACTGACATTATCAAACACTGGGTAATTGTCCACAGTTACAAATTCACTTGCTGCACATTCATAGTAGGTGCCTGTCAGCAGGGTCACTGCCAGCCACGTTAATGGAGCAACAACTGCCCTGCCAGTGATGCTGAAGAACCTGAGGCAAGCCAGCTTGCGCTCCAGGGGGGTGATTCTCCGGTGTGGAGGGGCACAGCTGCAGCAGTATTCACCGGTAATTGTCCACATTTGGCTTCTCAGAGCATAGCCAGCAATCAGAAGGATCAAGGCAGGAATGACAAGAAAAGCGGAACCATAATAGAAATTTTTCCCAACTTGACAGGGACATCTGAATGTGAAAGAGGAGAACAGTTGTTGCCCACCAATAGTCAACGCTGCAATTAAAGAATTGATAAATGTTCCACTTCTCTGCAGTGAAGACATGATATTCTGGAGAGTTGGGCTCATCGTGGGAAGCTCTTACACACATCAGCTCGTGGACCTTTCTAATCACTGGACTCCACCAGCTGTAACCATTTTATGGGATCTTACTGGTTTGACTGGTTGTGTCGTGTGACCCAACATCTTTACTTGTTTAAAGGATTCGAGCATCTTTCCTTGTGTACTTTGTGAATCCTGAGCTAATAAAGGCACTTCAGATTATATCTGGAAGAAATTGAGGGAGAGAATCATTTTGTAAGGGTAAATGGGGGAAATTCTTCACCATATCTTTCCACTAAAAAGAGGATGGCTTGCTTGCAAAGCAAACTGCCTCCATCTTTCCTTGTGCTGCTTTGCACAACACAAGATGCTGAGCACCAGCAAATAGAGCATTGGAAGCAAAACAGAGACATTCTTACTCTTGTACTAGACCAGAATTTTGTCACCATAAAATTAAAATATAGGAAATAATGGAAATTATCAAATACTAGAGCAATCCAAAATTTAGGGCTGGCTGGAATGTCCCTAACCTGAAAATTCAGTCAGAAGATCCCAAAAGATTTCCCAAAGGAGAAGAATAAGCTTAGGTGCCCCTAAAGCCAAATGACAACAAAACATTCTAACTTTGCATAAAAATTTAAAATCTGTTTGTATTAACAGAATATTGCTATGTTTTGCTTTAAAAATTAAGTTGCAAATTTGTTTATATGGTATCTTTTTTGTTATATGAAAATGTGATATTTGGCTTTTAATAAAGTTATATATCTATAAACAAGAAATGTAAAGTGTTTTCTATGTTTATTAATCAGCAAATATTAATTGTATTAATATAATATCTGTATGAAGGGCACTGGCCTAGGCTTGGCTTGGGCTTATAAATAAGTGACTATGATATAAGTTTTTCATCTCATACTTTCAACTGGACATGGTTAAATACATAATTAGTGAATTGGAACATAGGACTGAGGAACTCATCCAAAATGCAGTACAAAAAGACAAAGAAATAAAATATTTTTAAAAGCAGCTAAGAGAAATAGAAGACAGATTAAGCAACTGCACCATCTGTCTAACAGGACTTCCGGAAGATAAAAGGAAGGGATAGGCAGAGAGGCAATATTTGAAGAAAAGTAACTGAGAAATTTGCAGAATCAAAGTTCTCACATCAGAAGAATGTTGTTTGTTTTGAGCAGTATAAATAAAGGTAAATCCACTTCTAGACACAAAATAAAACTGCAGAAGGGAAAAAGAAATTTTCTTAAAAGCTTCCAGAAAGAAAAGATAGATAACCTATAAAAGAACAATAAACCGACAGCGGACTTCTCATCCATGGCAATAGAGAACAGAAGACAGTGCCTTCAGAGTGCTTAGTGCCAGCTAAGCTATCATTTGAGGCAGAGAAAAATGAAGATGCATAAAGACTAAAGGAATTTTCCACCAACAGAACCTCATTAAGAGGATTGCAAAAGGATATATTTCCGCAAAAAGAAAAATGAGCCCTGAGGAAAGACGTGGGAGCAAAAAATAATGACGATCACAAATATGACATTTTAAAATTTCCTTTACTTATTAGCTGTATAACTACTTTTTATTTCAAATGATACAACTAAAGCAATATATTATTATAAGATATCACTGCATTCCTACTAAAATGGTTAAAATTTAAAAAATTAACTATATCAAATGTTGGCAAAGATACAGAGCAACTGGAATTCTCATACACTGATGGTGGGAATGTAAAAAGGAACAACCACTTTGGAAAATGGTCATTTTCTTTAAAAGTTAACCATACACCCCCCATATAACACAATCCTTTATCTTCTAGTTGTTTACACAAGAGAAATGAAAGCATATGTCCACATGAAAATTGGTACATGAATGTCCATAGCAACTCTATTTAGAATAGCCACAAACTGGAAACAACCCAAATGTCCACCAGCAGATGAATGAATCAACAAAGTATTATAAATCCATATAATCCATATAAAGGGATGCTGCTCAGCACAATAAAAGGAATAAACTACTAATATACACAATAACATGAATGAATTAAAAATAATTATCTGGGTGAAAAAATTCAAAAAAGGACTGTATAATGTATGATTCTATTTATGTAAAACTCTAGAAAATATAAATTAATCTATATTGACAGATAACAGACCAATGCTTGCCTAGGGAGTCTGGGAGAAGGAATAAATAGAGAAGGATTACAAAGGGACACGAGAAAACTTTTAGGGTTGTATTAACTTGGACCGGCAAGATTTCACTTTATGGAGGTGACAGTGATGGCATAAAGAAGCCAACATCATTGAAAGAAGAATGTTTTATTTACATTTCCCAAAAGAGGGTGGCATGCCATGCCACACCATGCGGAGTCATAGGAGGAAGCATCAGGTTTGGTCAAGCGGCAGAAGGAGGTGGGGAAAGCCTAGGCCAGAGCTTATATTAGAGTTTCTGTGGAAAAAGCAAGGTAAGTCAGGGAAAACATTTAGGATTGGCTAGTTTAAATAATTCTGGCGGGTTTTGGGGCATAGAGGCTGTCCCAACCTGGCCATGGTTGATTTAGTGCAGGGTGAATATTAGCTTGGTATATGAGACCTAGTTAAGGAAGCGGTTCAGAGTATGGGCTCTGGATCATAGGGGAGAAGTAAACAACTTGGCTATTATTTGGCCCCATAATTAATGATGCCAAATAGACAAATACAGAATCTGAAAAAACACAGCTGGAACAGGAGTGATGAAAATGTTAATTATATTGATTGATTTGGTGGCTTCTGTGGTATACACATACGTTGAAACTCATCAAACTGTATATCAATTACATCTCAATAAAGCCATAAAAATTTTAAGAATGATCAGTAAAATAATAGAAATACAATGTATAGATCATTCAAAAAACAGAGGAAATAAAATGGGAATATTGACAGGAAAGGAGATAGTAAACCAAAGGAAAGAGGATGGTAAAGAGAAAACACAAAATAATGGTAGAAGTGAGACCAAATACATCAATAATCACAAAAAAATTTTTTTAAACAGCTAATAATAACTGAGTGCTTACTACGTGTGAGGCACTGTTCTAAGAACTTTATCTTATTTAGTTCCTATTTAATTGTTATTTAATTCCTATTCCTTATTTAACCCTATGATGAAGTACTTATATTATTCTCAGTGTTTTTACAGATGAGAAGACTGAGTTGTGGAGAGATTAAGGAAATTACTCAGGATCACACACAGATTAGTGGAAATGCCAGGATTACCACCCAGGTGGTCTGACACATGTTTTTAATCATGACACCAGAGCTGGATTAAACTCATCTACGAAGTAATTAAAAAATAGACTCATGCTGGTTATAAGTGACACTCCCAAAACTATACCATATGCAAAGCTTGAAAAGAAAGGATTGAAATATGTATCACTGGGAATAATAACATCATAAATAATAGAAGGCAAACTGAACAAAAGGGAAAGAATGTCAAATGGGCTAATTTTGAACACCCCATTATAATAAAAACAACAATCCATTATGAAGATGGGACAATTGTCAACTTTATGTCTGTGACTACATAACTTTGAAATACATAAAGCAATAACTAATGAAGCTGTGAGGAAAAATTCTTACAATCATAAAGAGAAATTTTTAATATACCTCTTTCAGAAATAAATTGATCAAGTTAACATTAGAAAGGATATAAAAGTATAAAGAATAAACTTAGCATTTTTTCATCTAAGATGTGTGTGTGTGTGTGTGTGTGTGTGTGTGTGTGTGTGGTATTCTATACCCTAAAAGCAGAAAATAACCTCTTTCAGAAATAAATTGATCAAGTTAACATTAGAAAGGATATAAAAGTATAAAGAATAAACTTAGCATTTTTTCGTCTAAGATGTGTGTGTGTGGTATTCTGTACCCTAAAAGTAGAAAATAAACATTTTTATAAGTTTATAAGTTTTTTATAAGTTTCCCCAAAATCATTTGCCAAAATGTATTGATCATGTAGGAGATCACAAAAATCATTTCAGTATTTCAGCATCGATGTCCAATAACAAGGACTGGATTAATAGACCACAATAATAAAATGCTATCAAGTAGGGGTCTGGCTGTTTTGTATGCCTTGTGATCTAAGAATGGTTTTTACATTTCAAAATGGTTGAAATTTTTTTAAAAATATTTTGTGACATGAAAATTACATGAAGTTCAAATTGCAGTGTTTATAAATAAGGTTTTATTGAAACATAGCCCTGCCTGTTCTTTAAGTGTCTGTGGCTGCTCTTATACTATGACAGTGGAGTTGAGTTATTACGACAGACTGTGTAGCCACAAAGCTTAAAATATTTGCTCTCTTGCCCTTCACAGAAAAAGTTTGCTGACCCCTGCTGTAAATCTGTGAAAATAAATGATCTACAATGACAGGTATGGGCATGGATAAATTTTAACAAATAACTTTGAGAGAAAAATGCAAGCTGTAGGATACATACTGTACGATAAATACTATGTAAAGTTTTAAAACATACAACATAATATTACATATTCTTACATATTACATACTAATACGTGTAGACTTTTACAACGTGCATAGGAAGGATAAATATCAAGTTCCGGGTAAGTGGTGACCACTGA